CAGGTTGGATGGGGCTTTGAGCAACCTGCTCTGGTGGAAGGTGTCCCTGCCTGCAGCAGGGGGGTTGGAAGGAGGTGACCTTTCCAACCCAAACCATTCTATGATGATTCACCCCTATGTATTACCAAGCACTACTGTAAAAGTATACAATCCCGGACTGAAGAAACCATTGCCTGGATCTTCTGTATTGTTTCTTGTCTCCATCAACGACCACCATTAAGCATGCCAGAGAAACGTGTGAAATACTTGTCACCAAGTATAAACCAAGTTAAAGAAATGCAAAGTTCTTCCTAAATTCAAGCAACTGGTTGATACTACAACCTAACAAAAGTCACCCATTAAGTAGCACAATTTTCCTGAACTTCTCCCGTACATCCTAGCTCCTTACCCTCCGTAGGTTCGCGCTGTGATAACGCACATTGTTTCCATACAGTCTCACTTACTGTGCACAGCGAGCTCCATGCTAGAGGTGCTGGACCCTGCCAGGTTTGCCGCTATGCACGTGTAACGGCCAGTGTCACCAGGCTGTACAAACACAATCTGCAGAGCACCAGTGCTAAGAATCCTTCTTCTAATGGACTCCGTTACTTGCTGTCCATCCTTATGCCAACTGATCTCTGGCGCAGGGTAGCCTTCAGCCTCACATTGCAGAGTGACAGATTGATCGACAGAAACAACATAGTCCTTGAGGTGGGACTTGATAGCAGGAGGAACTGAAAAGAATTAAAGAAAAATTTTAAAATAATTAGATGTTGTAAGAGACATACAACACTTCAGTTCTTAGTGAAAATAATCCTAAGAGCATATTTTGATCCTCAAGTAGACAGACAACTAAAGGGAAGAAACCTCCTGGGCTCTGTTCAGCATCACATCAAAGAGGAAAGCACTAGGTCCATTTCTATTGCTCAGAATTGTGTTTTGACTAACAAGAACAAATTTCTTGCCTGTAAATCACTCCAAGAGTTTAAAAGATGATTTACCTTGAACTTTCAGTTTGATTTTCCCCAGAGCAGTACCAGCTGGATTTTGAGCAACACACATGTAAGTACCAGCGTCTTCAACAGCTGATTTTGCAATCTGTAAACTGCCACTTGGAAGAACCATGTAACTGTTGCCTAAAACAAATACAAGCAAAGTATGACACGTTTGGTTTGTTTCTTGTTTTTAAACAAATGGATTCATTACGTCTAAGTTTGAACATTCAGAAAGGGCAAAGTAAGTTTGAGTTACAGCAAGTAGGCTGGAGTTACAGGCTTTAACAGGTTACCTGTTGTGATTATATTGATGCCCTCCTTTTGCCATGTTATTATGGGTCGAGGTGTCCCCGTTGCTTCACATGGTAGTAGAATGGGATTGTTCACAATGACGTCCAGCACCCCTGGCTGCGTTTGGATAACTGGTGGTTCTGTGGAATGAAATAAAAAGGAAAATGCAATAGGTTTAACCATCAGGGGTAGAAAATATAGAAGATTGTATAAGCTGAGAGTCTGAGAAGGCTGAATTAGCAATGGCTGTATTCTGCCATCCTTATGAAGAGAGCTCAGTGGAAGCGCTTGTAAATATAACAACATGCTCAGTATTGAGTATGGCCTTACTTCATGCAATTTGCCATCACAGATACATTTTAACTTACCAAAAAGCAAAGAAACAAAAATCTTATAAAAGAGAGCGGCATGGACTGGGGGGCTCTACCCAAGGTACCAGAGTTGTAACATGCGGAGTAGTGACTTTATGAATAATCGCCGCCTCCACAAGACAATTCAGCTGAGCAAGACACTACTTGTGATGGTCCACTCTGGCCTCACCGTTACTCTGCAGGGTGTGTACGTACGTATTAAATGGGCAACGTTTACTGACAGAACGCACTGTCTCTTCAGCTTGCCATCTTACCCTGAACGTGAAGAGTGGCGTGTCTGTGAGCTGAGCCAGCTGCGTTCCGGGCTACGCAAGTGTACCGTCCCGCGTGTGCTAGCTGAGCAGCAGGTATTTCAACAGCCCCTGCAGCAGAGAGAGAGCACATTACAACATACCGCGGGATCCTGCATTCACAGTAAAACTCTCTTACAGCATCCCGCTTCAGAGGTCTATATTTTTATTCTAAGAAATTGGAGAGGGGTTGTTCGGGGGATCGTTTGCATTTATTTAATGAATTACTTCTATACGTGCCCAACTGTACCCTTTCACTGATTTTCTGCAGCTCAGCTCCAGTCACACACAGTACCTGAAGAGAGAATCCTGTAGCCATCTCCTCTGGGAAGCAACTTTATGCCGTTTTTCATCCAATGAACCGAAGGGACAGGAACCCCTGACGCGGTGCAGGAAATTACTACTGGAGACAGCTTTGTTACCAAAAGGTCTGTGGCTTCATCTGCTATGGATGGGGGCACTAAAAATGAAGATCAGTGTAAAGGTTACTTGCCCATTTTCATTTTATGAATTCTTGGAAATAACTTATCTTTCTTGGGAATACCAGAGACTTATGGATATCAGTAACATAAAAGAACGATATAAAAATCTCATCTCAACATTGGAATGCCCCAAAGAAATTCTGGGTGCCGTACACATGTTAATAGCAATATCCCCTCTACCTTGAACAGTGAGCTCAACTGCTCTTTGATCTTCTCCTGCATCATTTGACACAGAGCACTCATAGACAGCAGTGTCATCCACAGTGGGAGAAATGATTACTAAGGAACCTGAAGACAGAAGTCTGAACAAAGAAAAGAGAAGAAAGTAAAAGCCATTGAAATACTTCTTTTCTTCTCAGGTAGTCAGACCACTGAATTTGCTGGCTACACCAGATTACATTTAAGCATGGCTAGGTTTTTTTTAAAATGCCAAAATCATCCCTAAAAACTTGAAACCCATGGTGAAAAGAAAACATCTCTCACCTGTACATATTCTGGTTCTGGTCAACACTAAGCAGATGCCCATTCTTTTTCCAGCTAATTGCTGGTCTGGGAATTCCAGTTGTTTCACAAGGCAAAGTGGTCTGCACATTTACAGTAACTGTAATATTCGTATGTCCAGGAGCAATAGTTGGAGGAACTAAGAACAAACAAAGTCTAATTATTCAGAATAATAATATACATATGCCCACCCCACCCCATACCTATATATAGAGAGAGCTGAACTGTCTGAACACATTTACTTGGTTTTTATAAAGAGTAACTTGGCAGTAGTAAACTTATTAAACCTGTAGCATGGGATGTGTCAAATCTTTCTAGTTCCAGCACACAAGAAATAAATAGTTTCTTTTCATGAACATTTGGGTTGTATTTCCAAGGCCTCTTTTTTTTTTTTTTTTTTTTAACCAGAGCAGTTAAAATGGGGCTAAACTTAAAACCGGATCTGGAAGAACAAGAAAAACCGGACTTCAGACTTGTGAAAATACGTATATTTATCTAAAACTAAAACTTTTACCAAGAACCTGCAGATCAATTCGTTTGCGTTCACTGCCAGCTGTATTGGTTGCCATACACACATATCTTCCTGTGTCAGTAACACGCGCTGAGTGGATGTGTAGAGATCCATCCTCTAACATGGAATATCTGAAACAAAGCCATATATTTGTTTTTACTATCCAATCAACAGAACCATAGGCTATCCTGGTAGCACAGAAGGAAAAGATGACTCAGAGTACACAACAAATAACCTAAACATGTGGTGTGTTAATTTGGGCTCACGGAGTTTTCTCATTTATCGCACTTACTCTGTCTTTGCTCTTTCCCAGCACATCCATTTTTCAGAGAAATTATGTAATTTAGCTGACATAGTGATTCCACATAAATTATGCCAGATTTGCAGAAAATATCCCAAAGTCCTTTTTTATGGTCTCTCATTTAACTTTGAAAAAGCCTAATTAACGCTTGTACATTTTCTTTTTTCTTTGAAATATAACGGAATTCTTTAGCATTTGCTCAGTTCCAGAAAACGCCAAACTACTTCTCCGTAAAACAATCAGAAGACAGAAACCATTCACTGTAACAAAAATTGATACTAGAACATGTGTAGAAAGTTTTGTACATCAGAAAGTGCAGAGTACACTCAAGTAGCTTTTGGTCTGCATGAAATTGCTTGGCTTCATCCCAAAATTCCATATATATAAAAACATACAAGGATCTTTTACATTTACTGTTCAAAATCTTTATTTTCAGAAGAATTATTACTACGTTTGGTTGTCAAAGGAATTTTTTGTCCTTCTTAACAATAAAAGGATGAAAACTTTGGTCCTGCTACTTTTCTGTAGAACAACTTCTTTATGTTACTGTTTATCACCGTATTTTCCACATTTAGCTCTATTTGAGATGATAGTACAAATATTAGTTCTGATCTGTGAAAACAAAACTAATTTACAAGTCACAGATGTCTAATTAACCTTTCTGTAATAAATACATTCTTAAAAAAACAATGAAGAATATTTATGCTGACTTCTGGACAATACCTTGTATTGTTTCCAGTAAAAACAGCCCCATCCTTTCTCCATGTAACTCTCGGGGTTGGTACTCCTTCTGCAACACACTCCAGGACAGCAGAAGCATTTATATGCACAACCGCAGTTTGAGGGCTGCTTCGGATCGTAGGAGCCACTGTAAAGGGAAAATTGCTGATGATATAAAGAAAAAACCAAAACAAAACAGCTTTACACTGCAACGATTGAAACTAAACATATGGAACCAGATGCAGGAACAGGTATGGGGATCATTGCAAAGACAGAAACAAGTCTCGTACCATTTTGTGCAGTGCACGGTAATTGCCATGATGCAGTAGGGAATGAAAAAGAGAGTTTGTCGGAAATGCACTGTAACAATCATCTTTGCAAGTTACTGCAAAGGTTACCATATAGCTAAAACAGTAAAAGAATTCAGCGTATTTAATTCAGCAAAATAAGGCTGTGGTGATATCCTTGCTTCCTAGTTATAAATTAAGGAGAAAAAAGAATTTTAATTGGATGAGTAAGGATAGTCATGGGGGGGCACAGTGTAATGCAGGTACATGTGACTGGGTTGTGAACAGAACAGAAATGGGAACGAAGTTTCTTATCATCACCCAAGTGCGAGAATAGAACAGTTTCTCATCAGACTAGAGGTGAGAAAATAAATAGGTTTAAAATGAAACTCAGGTCTAGGGTAGTACAGGACAAGTACCGAGATGCGTAGGGTTCTTCAAGCCCTATCTTCCTTCTATCTCCTCGTGCTGGTTTTGGCTCGGGTAAAGCTAATTTACTTTGTAGGACCTAGTATGGGGCTATGTTTTGGATTTGTGCTGGAAACTGTTGATAATATAGAGATGTTTTAATTATGGCTGAGTTGTGCTTATGCAGAGTCAAGGCCTTTTCTGCTCTTCACCCCACCCCACCAGCAAGGAGGCTGGGGGTGCACAAGGAGCTGGGAGGGGACACAGCCGGGACAGCTGACCCCAAGGGATATTCCATACCGTATGATGTCATGCTCAGCACATAAAGCTGAGGGAAGAAGGAGGATGGGGAGGATGTTTGGAGGGATGGCATTTGTCTTCCCAAGTAGCTGTTACGTGTGATGGAGCCCTGCTTTCCTGGAGATGGCTGAACACCTGTCTGACAATGGGAAGGGGGGAATGAATTCCTTGTTTTGCTTTGCTTTGCTCATGCGCACGGCTTTTGCTTTATCTATTTATCTCAACCCAGGAGTTTTCTCACTTTTACTCTTCCCTATCGAGAAGTGGGGGGGAGTGAGCAAACATCTGTGTGGGGCTCAGTTGTCAGCTGGGGTTAAACCATGACACTTCTGCTTATAGATACAGAGAAGCAGCCACAGCTTCCAAGTAACTTGCAAAACTGGTGGCCAAGCCAGCTATGAAACCTAGTTGCCCAGGCTGCCAGTCAAATGCTTTTATGAATTTCTCTGAATTTGTCCAAGAGCATTTCTAAGTCCTGGATCGGGGTGTTCATTCTGGATATATCCTGACTCCGTATCAGGATGACGGCTAGACGCACATCACCCTCCATTAGCAGGAAGCACAGACGGAGAGTGAGCCATGGTGAATCCCCAACAGGTCCTTTGGCGTGTGGGACAACTGTGGACTCAAATGGTGGCACACATGAGGTAATACACATGGTCCCACAGTTTAGACACAGCCTAAATGGTCAACATTTGGCTAGAAAGAGACTATTAATGCTTCTTTCTCGCTGTTTGAACTCCTGCAGAAATACCATGCAAAGATCAAAATGCACAAGATTGGATCCATGATTTTACCATGTACTGTCAGCACGAACTCCCTGGTCATTGTTCCTGCGATATTACTTGCCACACATGTATAGCTTGCTGTGTCGCTGAGGTCAGCATTATTGATCTGCAGGTATCGCCCACTGGATAGGATTCGAACCCGAGGAGTTCCCTAAGGGGAAAGAGAGAGAGTTTGACAAATTTAACTTTACCACTGTTCTCTTTATGAAGATAGATCAATCTTTTGTTGTAATAAAAGCCATGAAAGAACGCCAAAGATAAACCAGGGACTGAATTCATCATTGGCGTAACTTTGTTTACATCCGTGAAGATAATAGGTTAAACAAAGTTTTAAAAAATTACCATTGCTTAACAGTTCCCTCTGGAAATGCCTACTGGGGCCTGTGCCTGAATAAGACAGATTTTTTCGGTTACATAGCCAAAAGTCTTCTGAGTTTCTATGGAAAGGGGCAGCTAATAGCACATGATGAATTTTATTTGTTTTTCCAAAAATCCATGCATACTACAGGCAGAAGAAA